CACACACACACACACACACACACACACACACACACACACACACACACACACTTGCATCAGGTACATTCATCACTTGTTGCTCACTATCTACCTATGGGTGCTTCTCTCCTCCTCCTCCTCCCACCTTCCCATCCCGCCCACCTCTTACAGAAACCTTTGAGCCCACCTTTCTGTTTGACTCACCACGTCTTTGTTTCGCCCTGCACTCTCTTCCATCAGATGGCATAGCCGACCGGTCTTAAGTTTTGGAAATACAATGTACTGCCTGTTGACGAAGATCAAACCATCCATCCTTCCGTCCACCCACCACATCCGTTAGCGGTCGGTCCATGAAAACACCTGTCCTTGTGTCCATCTGCGTATCCACTTATCCGTCTGTTCCTCCATTCAACAGTTCGTTGGTCCATCTGCCCTGACTTTTGACTTTCAAATCAATATTTTTCTCCGTCTCTTTCCTTCTATTGATTAAATAGTTTGTATGGGTTTTACGAGTGCGTACTGTGCCAAATAAGTGCTTTGTTATTGCGAATTACACCCCATCGTCCACTCTTTTTTTGTTGTTCCAAGACTACAGAACGTCTGCGCTACTCTTCCTCCGTTTAGTTATTCAACGCTTGCTTTAAAAGCTGATAGATTATAATTAACAGGCAATATGCTGGCTTATTTTATGTGGTGAAATGCAGATTAACACAAATTATTAGTTCCGTCCTGTCTCAAACACAGGATAGATTTTGGAAGCTGTCATGCCCTACGAACTCTGACTATCAGTGTCTACTGAGTTATATTATAGCTTGCTATATCTCTCATGTCAGTAAAGGGAACGATTGTTAATTCACGAAGAAGAAGAAGAAGAAGAAGAAGAAGAAGAAGAAGAAGAAGAAGAAGAAGAAACAGCAACAACAATAACAACAACAACAACAACAACAGTAGCAACAAGCTTATCTTTGCACGAAGTTGTCAGAACAGGGGGCAAAAATCTGGCGCATATAGACTGAAAAAAAATAATGAGAGTATATTATTAGAGTTGGAAAGTTGGAAAAACTCTGGTTTCAGAAAAGGGACGGAAAAGTGAGGACAATGTTAACCATTATACACTGTCATCTTTCTTTCAGCTTCGAAAGTCAAACTAGGTCAAACTCAAGGTCGACTTGACCAAGTCAAGTGTTGTCGGATCTACATAGTCCTCAAAACAACGACGAAAATGTTGCGCAGATTGATTTAATAAAAATGAAAGCATGTTTTTATATGTAAAAGTTAGTCAAAACTCCGCTTACAGAGAACAGGTGGAAAAGTGACTCATGTTAGACTTATGGTATGGAGATAATGGTTGTAAAGCGCATAGATGAGCATGAATATGAGCTATATAAATGCTATTTTTATTATATGCTCTTGAGCATGAATATGAGCTATATAAATGCTATTTTTATTATATAAATCACATCTATCGTCAGTAATAAGGAATTTAATGTTGTTTTCATGGAGCCCGTTCATTATTCTGTTTCTGTTTATTTGTTGCAGGTTGTTGATAGGAGCACCAAGAGCACAGACGTCCCAGCCTGGAGTAACGAGAGGTGGCGCTGTGTTCAGGTGTAAAACTGACCGTAAAAACTCCTGTCAGGAGATTCCGTTTGATTCAGAAGGTAAGCTGGCTAGATGTCGGTAAATACATAAATCATTGTGTGTGTTCAATAGTTGCAGAACTAAAGAATGGGTGATTACCTGAATTCTTTTTTGTAAAGATTGAATAGGGCAAAATGGGTGCTTTAAAAAACCGATTGAGTACTCTTTGAGTGGTGGTGATGATGATGATGATGATGATGACGATGATGATGATGATGATGATGATGATGATGATGATGATGATGATGATGATGATGATGATGATGATGATTCAGTTGCTCCTGAGGAAGCCTACGTGGTGAAACGTCGAGCCTATACAATAAAACAAATTTTAAACATTTTATATTTAATATTTTTTGGTCTGTAAATCAAGCAAGACTCTGCCTCCTACCCTGTTTTTTAAAACAATTTTGATGATGATAGTGATGGTGATGATAATGATGATGATGGGAGGAGGAGGGAAAAGAGCAGGAGGAGAGGGAGGAGGAGGAGAGGGAGGAGGAGGAGAGGGAGGAGGAGGAGAAAGAGGATAAGGAGGAGATGAAAGAAAACGACCAAAATGATCAGCTGCAGGAAATTTTAATGCAAGTGACATTACACATTGGCTGATTTATTGCTCAGCACATTTGGACAACTGGGTTCAGTTTAAATTGCTGCTTTAAAAGTATTACAAAGTACAACACCTTTTTACAAATTTTTTTTCCTGAAATTGTTTGTTGGGACAATATTACTCATTTATAATGCATTTCTTTAAAGAAACAAAACAAAATCGACAAAATTGTGAGATACATCCAGCATTTTCTTTGGGTTTTACCAAAGTAACCCCCTCACTGTTAAATTATGCTGTCTACGAACCCCTTTTCTGTAAATTGCACAGCGTCCTCATGTTAAAAAAAAACAAACATTAATAAATAAATGAAACTGGTTGATGTCCCAGTATGATAGAAACCATATTTAAAAGAATAATAAATCTACTCTAATAAAATCTGGCTTAAAAGGAATGTTAGATAATTCCAGTATTTTTATGGTTACATCAGAGACAAGGAGACACTGTTACCCCAAGTGGTAACATGCTGGGCTACTAGGCAAATGACATTGGTTCAAACCCCTGACGGTATATTCTACTTGTGTTGTTGGAAAATTTTCAATGGCTTACTGTCTTGATCCTGTCAGAAGAGGAGGTCGTTAAACTGGAGGTCCTGTGTTAGTAATCTCCATATAGGGGTTCTAAAGTTGTACAATACAATACAAATTTCACCAGCGTTTGTGGTGTAACAGTTTAGGTCTCTCCCTTTGCATGAGTAAAAGAAGCTCGATTCTTGCTTGTGTGAAACTGAAAAGGGGGGTGGGGGGGTATCAAGCATCGTCATATTTCTTCTGAGAAGTAGTATTCAACATTGTCCTGACATGCGGGGTTTAAGTAACCCACCTTACAAATGGTCTAAATTGGGTCAATGAGGATGTAACACCTCTAAAACCAATCAACTTTGACGCTGATTGCGGTGCCAGTGTTAGTTAGACAAAAGCTGAACTCTGAAATATTGGTATCTTAAAACAATTATTTAGCGTCTTCCATCAATCTTGCATTACTTTGGTTTAGGGGATAGTATGTGTCACGACGCGGTGGAAAGTAAGCACTCCTCAATTTGGGGGCGAGCGAAGGGAGTTATAATTGGCATAATCTTAGAACTTGTACGTTTGCCTTGCTTTTGATTTTTAAAAAATCCATTTAGAAAAGAAGTCGAGATATCTTCGATTGAAGGAGGTGGGTGTAGCCTGGTGTCAGAGTTAAAACTATAGAGAAAATGGCCGCCAAAGTTTGGTGACGTCCAAAGCTTTATGTCCTTGCCGGTTTGTTAAGTTGTATTATTTTGATGAGCACCTGTTTTCACCACGATGTCACACATTTTATCTGCTTTTACGAACAATAATACATGCTTAACTGAACTGATGAAAATTGTGTATATATGTATAAATCCACAGGGAACAACATCAAGTTCGTCCAAAGTTCGAATTCTTATATGCCCATAGAAGACAAGTCCAACCAGTGGTTTGGATCAACAATCGAGAGTTCTGGAGAAAACGGAGTTATTGTGGTAAGTTACTGTGTTCAAGATGGATGATCTTCTATCAATTTAAACTTTTGAGACATTTAGTTTTGTTAATGAGGGTGTGTTCTTCAAATCTACTTATTTTCCTGACGGTGTGTGTTTCCCCGTCTCTTTATTTCTTTTCTTTCTCCTGCAGTCTCTTCGTGTGTTTCCCTTACAATACTTTCATCAACTAATAGATTATAAATAGCATTTTAATGCGCCTATTCCCACTCAGCAACAAACGCTATACGTGCTGTACAGTCTATATATATATAACACGTATTACCCCAATAGTCCCT